TATTTAAAGAGGGCTATCATATCCCCTCTTAACCGTCTCTTCTCCAGGCTAAACATCCCCAGCTCCCTAAGTCGTTCCTCACAGGGATTCATGGTTTCCAGACCCTTCACCATTTTAGTTGCCCTCCTTTGGACACGCTCCAGTTTTTCAACATCCTTTTTCAATTGTGGTGCCCAGAACTGGACACAGGATTATTCCAGTTGGGGCCTGACCAAAGCAGAATAGAGTGGTGCTATTACTTCTCTTGATCTAGATACTATACTTCTGTTGATGCAGCCTAAAATTGCATTGGCCTTTTTTAGCTGCGGCATCGCACTGTTCACTCATGTTCAACTTGTGGGTCACTAGGACTCCTAGATCCCTTTCACATGTAGTTGCATTAAGACAGGTGTCCCCATCTTATAGCTATGCATTTCATTTTTTTCCCCCTAAGTGCAGTACCTTACATTTCTCCATGTTGAAATTCATTTTGTTAGCTTTGGCCCAGCTTTCTAATCTATTAAGATCTTTTTGAAATTTTTGAAATTTCATCAACATACCCAGCTCCCTAAGTCTCTCCTCATAGGGCTTTATGGTTTCCAGACTTTTCACCACTTGTTAATGATTTTTACTGCCATTAACGTGGAGCGAGGTATATATGTCTTTCTACCTCATGTTCCAATATAAGTTAGCTGATTGTGGTTTCCCATACCAGAGATCCAGTAGTGTAGTGGTTTGAGCATTGGACTATGACTCTGGAGACTAGGGCTCGAATCCGGCTCAGCCATGTAAACCCGCTGGGTGACCTTAGACAGGTCACACTCTCTCAGCCTCAGAGGATGGCAATGGCAAACCTTCCAAGAAAACCTCACTTATGGTGTCACCATAAGTCAGCAATGACTTGACGGCACAAAACAACAACAAATGCACTTTCCATCAGATGGATTGCCATTTGCTACTTTTGTCATGGGCAACAAAATGCCTCTGGCCAGTCCTGCTCACAAGCCAATGGGAAAACCACTAGGGAAGCAAGTACTTCCCAAAATAAGATTATTTTCCAACCAGTCTTGGTGACTGGCTTGGCCTGCTCTCGTGTTGTTCATTGCAGTTGTTGCATGCCTTCAGGTCATTTCCAACGTACGGCGACCCTAAGGCAAACCTATCATAGGGGTTTGTGGTTTTTTGGGGGCAGGTTTCTTCAGTTGCCATTGCCAGCCTCTGAAGCTGAGATAGTGTGACTTGCTCAAGGTCACCCAGTAGGTTTCCACGGACAAGTCAGGATTTAAACCCTGGTCTCTTAATGTCCTAGTCCCAACACACCAACCATTACGCCACGCCAGCTTGTTTGCTAAACAGAAGCAACGGAAAGCCAAAGCTCACTAATAAAAGTCTGCTTGTAGAAAGTCCTAAGTTTTGTTCTGTAGAAAATATTGTGTTGCCTTGATCACAAAAGAAGGTGGTATCCCATTTACATTCTATGTACAGAAATTAACCAGACTAACCAGTGGAATTCTACTTACACTGGGAGTGGAATAGTGTCCTCCAGCGCACCTGAACCAGCAACCTCAATTGGGGCAAGGTTAATGGTGTGAATTTTTGAAGTACAGACTCTTACCAGCAAATTCAAACAAAAATCCATCAGTGATACCTTTATCAGCCAACCAAAATGCACAATATACTTGTTGCAAGCTTTCAAAAGTCCTCATCAAATATACCTTTTCGGCCAACCGAAATGCACAATATACTTGTTGCAAGCTTTCAACAGTCCATCAGTGATACCTTAATTGGCCAACCAAAATCCACAATATACTTGTTGCAAGCTTTCAAAAGCTTGCAACAAGTATATTGTACATTTTGGTTGGCCAATTAAGGTATCACTGATAGATTTTTGTTAGGACTGTATCACACGGCGGCAAGTTGCTTAAATCCCATGCAGAAATGGGATTTAAAAATAAAATTTAAAAACCCGCAAAAGCAGGTTGTTTTTCATACATATTTGTGTAAAGGAGAAATAACACAACATTAACACAAACGGAAAGTTGCAAAAACCTGGTCCTTTTTACTTTCAGAAGTGCCTGAAAGTAAAAAAGAGTGGGTTTTGTCAGCTTTCCATTTGGGTCATTTTCGCGTTATTTCTCTTTCATGCAAACGTCATCTGGGGGAAAAAAACACAATTGTGAGTTTTGTCTACTTTCTGTTTGGGTTAACTCCGAACATTTCTGCATGGGATTCGTCCTGTCTGATAAACTCCTTAGACTCTCACCAGAACAGTCTCTATCGCAACACTCAGACAGAGCATTCAAAAATACAGGTGGTGATAAAGATAAAGATAAAGAGATCGAACTTTCTCAATAAAGGCGCTCTTACCTTTTTACATTTTATAGAATAATGCATTTCATTTTAATTCTGTAGTACTAAGATTCAATATGAAAGTATATACAATGGGCTCCTTGTATATATCCTCTGGAGTTTGATTCCAGGACCCTAGCCATCGACAGATTGGAGCATCATAGAATCATAGAATCATAGAATTGGAAGAGACCACAAGGGCCATCCAGTCCAACCCCCTGCTATGCAGGAACTCCCATCCACGGATGGCCCCATCCCATTATCATCAATGGTCATGTGTGCACACAGCCATGCGACCTCAGCCATGCACATGTCAGCATCCATTGAGGGTAATGGGACGTGAGGTCCCACATTTTTTGGTATCCATGGGGGGGTCCGAAACTGAACCCCTGCCAATGCAGAGGACCGACTGTTTAGTAGAGAGGTCCTCCACTGCCCTAGAGGTAATTGTGGGGCAGTATGGAAAGAGGAAAATGGGGGGAAATTGCTCCCAAAAATGGGACCCCTGAGGGCTCCAAAAATGGTCCACATAGAGCCCTTGGGCTGCACTTCATCCACTCCTGGTCTAGATGGTTACATTACCTGTCGGGGATGCTTTGATTGGGAGTTCCTGCATGGAAGGGGGTTGGACTGGATGGCCTTTGTGGTCTCTTCCAACTCTATGATTCTATGATTCCATGACCTGGGGTGAGATAGGGACTTCCCCAGCTTTTTGCATGGGACAGGGGAGGTTCTGTGCAATGTTTGGAGGAGTATCCTGGAGATAGATTTTCCCCTGGACATCTGGAAATTGTCCTCCTTTGTCCCTAGGCCCTCCTTAAAATCCCTCGCGTTCAATCACATCATATGTGGAAGCAGCAAGCGCCAAAGCAGAAGGTGAAACCATCTCCAGAGGTGCTTCCCAAGGAGACACTGAACACTGCAGTCACCCAGCCTCAGTCACAGCATTTGACCCAGTGTCCCAGCCCCAATGTCATCTTCCATTTGTAGCCCTATGGCGTTTGCCCACTGTTTCGTGCCTATCTTTGTCCTGTCAACGACACGGCTTTCCGATGATGTTTTGCCTTCAGTCTTGCCTTGTTTTAACAAGGCTTTTTTTACATTCTCACAATAACCCTGAGAAGCAGATCAAGCTGCAAGGCAGCGAAAGACCCAAGGGCACCCGGGGAGTTTTCTGGCTCTGGATCAGTCTGCATGTGCAAATGCAGATTTGTAATTATTTTAAAAGAAATACAACACCTATCTTACTGGGGAATTCTGTAACTGTGGGACGTAGATACCCGCTGCTCTCTTTGCTGCCTGAGTGCTGCAAAGAGGTTAATGGACAATGTCAAGACCCCGGATTCTTCTTTCTTAGGCACCATTATCCTTAAATCGGTACCGGGCTGAGCTGCTCTTCCAACCCTGGACTAGAATGCCACTTTTGTTTTGTTTTTTTAATGCTATTTTGAGCAAGCCTAGGGAGCAAAATAGCCTTTAAATGGATGGTTATGTCCCCCGAAGACATCCAGAGACACAACACATCTTCCAAAAGAGGCTAGACAAATCTCTGCGGGGATGCTGTAGCTGGATTCCCTGCAATGAGCTGGCCTTGAAGCCCCTTCCAATTCTATGATCTAAACAGGGATTTGTTATGCTGGTTTGATATATTTTCCAGACTTTGGGGTGTGTGTGTGTTGGTGTGTGTCAGGGCACCAAGGAGGCCGAGTACAGCCTGAAAGCCATATCTTGCCTTGAAATGAAGGATGCCTTGAAAGAGACATGTCTTATCTGACAGTTCTCAAGTGAAGAATTGTCCTTTGTAAAGCAGGTAGCACGGCACGCTCAGAAGGGATAGGATGCTGACCATGACGACAATGTCAATACAGTTGGACCTCCGTATCCACGGATTTCTTAGTCCACGGATTCAACCATCCACGGCTTGAAATGTTTTTTTTAAAATATACATTCTAATAAGCAAGCCTTGGTTTTGCCATTTGATATAAGGGGTAGCATTTTACTATGCCATTGTATTTCATGGGACTGGAGCATCCATGGATTTTGGTATCCACAGGGGCTCTGGCCCCAGTGGATACCAAGGGCCCACTGTATCATCCTGTTCTGCACCAGTTTGCTGATTTCTGGCAGTCTTCAAAGGCAACACCAGACAGGACATATTATAGTAATCCAGCCTCTGTGTGACTAAGGAAGGAATTCCTAGGAGTTCCATGTCTCTAATGTCTGGTAGTAGACAGTACTGTAGAGCTTGTCTCAGTCCTTATTAAAGTTTTCCTTAAACATACGCAATATCTTGAGCTGGTGACCTTAACAGCCGTGGCAGATCTCCTTGGACCCACCTAGATTTTTTGTTTTCTAATGGAATGTGCTGTTCTGTGTTTCTACTGTAAACCTCAAGTGTTTTCAGTGTCATGCTCTCTCGCACAGAGAAAGGCTTTGACAAATATTCAGACCTGAACAACAACAAAGGGGTGGTTCAAAAAGGAGGTGGAGGAGGAAGGATATGAAGCCCAGAAAGTCGTGTCCTGATAAAATAGAGGCTGTCTTGAAAAGTCACTGGTGATCATTCAAAATTTATATTACTATTATTATTATTATTATTATTATTATTATTATTATTACTGCAGTTTATTTATATAGAGCTGTAGACCACAAAATATTATTGTGGTCAGAAAGCCAGCATGGCATAGTGGTTTGAGTGTTGGACTACAACTCTGGAGACCGGGGTTCGATTCCCCACTTGGTCATGAACCCATTGGGTGACTTTGGGCAAGTCACACTTTCTTATCTTATCAAATCTTATCAAGAAAACCCCATGATATGGCCACTTTAGAGTCACCATCAGTCGAAAAGAACTTGGAGGCACACAACAAAAACAAATTGATGGTTAGTGTTGGACTAAGGACGTTATCACACGCGGGTCTCAAAGTGGCAAGAAAGTGGTATGGAATCAATCCAGAACTATACCGGTATAAACCCCACAAGACGGAAATTGCTATCAGACGCAACTAGCATCATTGCGCAATGAACGAAAGCAGCATCATTCCGGTATCATTCTGGTCGCACAAATGTAATTCCCCAGGAAACCAGCATTCAAAAGAACAGGGATGATGCCACATTGGGACGGGGATGGGACGGGGTTCTCTGCGACGTCGTGTGAATACACGGGAAAAGGAACCGCATTGGGACGGGGATGGGACGGGGTTCTGTGCGATGTCATGTGAACACACGGAAAAAAACCACAATGGAACGGGGATGGGACGGGGTTCTGTCTGCTTTAGACCCCGTGTGATAAGGTCCTAAGACTTCGGAGATCAAGGTTTGCCACTCAGCCAGCTAACTGGATGGGTATCATAGGACTATAGGACTCATTCAATCTGGCTTACGTCAAAGGCTTGCTATGAACATAAAGTGAGGAGGTGGAGAACATATATACAGAAGTAACTAATAAATCAATAAAGTAAGATAGCCCTTTCCCAATTACAATGCCAGGTGATTTTTGTTGTGGCCATCATCAAGCTGGCTTTTGCTCTATGCTTTTGATTTGCTAATGATTAAAGATATTTCCTTCATCAGAGCAAACGGCTATAAGATATCCCCATATATACCCATCAGTGCCTTCTGATTGCTGGTGACAATTATCGATCGGAGATGAACTACCACTAAGGTGATCCAATAATATCCAAACAGTGATACCTTTCTTGGGACAACCAAAAGGCACAATAACATGTTGCAAGCTTTCAAAGTCACGCTGGCTTCTTCATCAGGCAAGGTGGTGATGGTAGCAGTTCTTGCATTGCTTCTTGTTACTGTTAACTACCCTCCAGTTAACTACCCTCCATGAGTCAACCACGACTTCATGGAAACTCATGAGACATCTCCAAGACCCTCTGTCCTCAACTGCTCTGGTCAGGTCCTGCAAACTCAGGGCCATGACCTCCTTGATGGGGTCCATCCATCTGGCATGTGGTCTTCCTTTCTTTCTACATCCCTCCATCTTTCCCAGCATCATCATCATCATCATCATCATCATCATCATCATCATCATCATCATCATCATAATAATAAATTATTTCTATCCCGCCCCTGTACCGAAGCAATCAGGGCAGCTTACAACAATAAAATCTCACAATAAACCCTCCCAAACCCAAACCCACCCTCTCCTTAAAACAGCATTAAACATGATGAAATTAAAACAATTACAACAACAATTGTCTTTTCAAATGACTTGTGCCTTTTCATTATGTGGCAAAGTACAGACAGCCTCAGTTTCCTCATCATGACTTCCAGGGAGAGTTCAGGCTTGATCTCTTCGAGGATCTATTTTGTCCTTTCGGCCGTCCATTGTATCTTCAGCACTCTTCTTCAACACCACGTCTCAAGAGTTTATTTTCTTCTTATCCGTTTTCTTCAATGTCCAGCTCTCGCATCCGTATATGGTGATGGGAATGGCTTGGATGATTCCAACTTTAGTTTCCAATTGCATATTTTTACACTTTAGGATTTTGTCTAGCAGTTCTTTCATGGCTGCCCTTCCCATTCCTAGTCTTGTGATCTCTTGACTCTAGTCACCATTCTTATCAATCTTTGTTCCTAGTTACAGGAACCCTTTGACTATTTCAATTTTCTTGTTATCTACTAAGGTTGAATTTACGTAGATCTTCCATGGTCATTATTTCTGACAAAGTTTCAAAGCCTTCTGGTTGTTGTTGAAGTGCATAATCTCACTCTTTGTTTTTATTGGTTGGGGCTGATGGGAGCTGTGGTACGACAACACCTGAGGACGACACTTTGGACGTTATCACACGTGGGCTAGAAAGCGATAATAAAGTGGAAATGA